AAAAAAAAAAAAAAAAAAAAAAAAAAAAAAAAAAACTTAACTGCCATTGCTTCCCTGATCTCCCTTCTTTCATAGTAAACGCACAAGTTCTCTTCTGACACCGGAAAAATATCAACCCGGCAGCATGCGCTCATGAAAGTGAGTTTCGTTCTCATAAACCTCCTCAGCAACCTCGAGCAAAACACTGTCCGCTGTTAAGTTTTTCTAAAATACGAGAAAAACGAGTTTATCGCAGCATCTGAACTGGAGGCACGCGACCGGGTGGGAGAATTTTGAGGCGCTGAGAGTTGCACAAAGACAGCAGAAGCCCTAAAACACCTGCCCAACGTGAGCAGAATTATCGTCTCATAGCATCCCATATAAGAAGGAGGCAGATGTAAATGAAGACCTGCATGCTGGTTCCCGTTGTATAAGAACGTGTGTGTGTGTGTGTGTCAATGAAGACAGTATTGCAAAATCCATGTCGCAGCAGAACGTGACACCGGTGTCGGTGACGAACCCGTCCCGAGCCTATTCCTTTGGTCTGTTGCTCGTAGCGACAGACCAACAGAGAATCCTCTCCCAACTCTGCAGTGCTCTTTAAGCTCATTCTTTTTTTCAATTTCAAAATATATTTTGACCAATAGCGATAATAGAGATGTAGCTGATCCTAAAGAGCTGTACTGGGGCCTATTTTAATGGATCCGTATCAGCTAAAATAAAGCTGATCAACATCTTGAATGTATTGGATAATACAGGATTTGGAAAACATTGTAAACTGATAACCCACACACCCAGAAGTCCCTCTGTTACTCACTGGATTTGGCCAGATCTCTGGACTCTGGGAAGACGAACAAAGCCTGAAGACACCTCTTCCAGCTCTCTCCTCTCTCTGCAAACACACAAACATCTTTGTTATTCTTGGAGTTATGCTGTAGTACGTTCTTCTACGCTTCATACCTACATCTACAAAACAGTGCATTGGCAAGTTGTCACGGTAGATGTGGGAACATTTACTCTACAAAAGGCATCGGAGGTTAATCAGCCTCTCTGTTCTGCCTTATTTTTCAATAATAGTATCCTCGATCTATTTAACCAGTACGCCCTATCTGCCCCATGTCATACCAGAGGGTGTGGCCATCTGAACACTGGATAACAGGAGGAGAAAGCCTCGGTCTGAGAGTGGAGTCATCAGAACCTGAAGAGAGAAGAGACGACTGTCATTCAACAAACACGCTCTCATTTCCCATCTTTCTATTTGGCTTCTCCTGTGTTGTTCCCTTTTCTTCTTCTTACATTTTAAAGTCCCCCTGCTGCTTAAGTTGGGGAATAATCACACGTGGAAGATATTTACAAATGTCAGTATCTTTGACACTGAAGACTACTTTATATTTTTCATAAAAAACTATTTAAAACAAGCACAAACAGATAAAGGTTTGTCCCTAGTCGAAAGGCCAGATAAAAGACACCAAGGGGGGTAAAAATGAAATGTAAGCCAAACCCACCACTCTCTTCATCTCCAGTTCCTGCAGCAGTCTCGTCACGCTGGTCGCAGACCGACTTCTGTCAGTCACCTCCAGGAGGCTGCAACAATGGCCGCTCTTCACGACTACACACGCAACAAAACACACAATACAACGGTGATCATACGATACAAACGGCAAAGCAACGTATATTCTGCTTTCTGATGCCGATTTAAATCTGAAAGAAATTGCATGTCAACACGAAATAACGGTTTGTAACTCAGTCTGAACGAATGCACTTTCAAAAGGCCCATGAGATGTGTAATGCACCGTCACTCTGAGGGTAACTGTGGCTTCACCTTCGTGGCTGCTGCTGTAGAGGTTGTAGCTGAGCAGGTCGGAGGGCAGGAGCTTGGTCACCTGGTTCAGCCTCATCAACGAACCGATTTCCAACTTCTCAGGTCTGAAGGAGACACAGATACATACAGAGCCAATCGCTGTAAAATGGGAGGATACACTTGTTTTAACGTAATGTCACAAAAAATGCATTTTCCCAACGTGTTCTGGTTGCGAGGTCCGTTTTATGAACCGCGTCAGCAATTCTGGTGGAAGTTGAGACCGAGGTCTGTGGTCTGGTGGACAAACCTACACATCTGCCACGTAAAGCACCCGACTGATCTGATGCTCTGTGTCGCCTCACGTCTTCAGGAAAAGTTGCACTCGAACAAACTGCAAAGCCACTTTCAGAAATATCAAGTCAAGTTTGCTGCCAACGGTGCCAACACAGACCTTCACCAAGGTTTTCTATCTAAAATCTAAGACGAGCCTCAACTACAAACAATGATCTGGTCTTATCAACACTTCCTGCAGCTGCTTCACAATGAAAGAAGGCCGAGAGTGTAATTCAGTAGGTATTTCCTGAGCTCAACGAGGCAGAATTTGGTTTGTTGAAGGTGGATTTCTTCACTTTAGTTCGAAGAAACAACTTGCTCGTTGTCCCAAGTGAGGCAATAAACACCTCACCCCTACCGCTGTACCAGACACAGAAGAGTTTGATTTGACCCTGTCGAACAAACACTGTTTTCATTGTATTGAGGTCAGTCCAGTACTCACAGTCTGTGGGGCAGGAGGGGAGGAGAGAAGGAGCGAAGCAAGATCTGGAAGAGAACCCGGTCGCCTTTCACCAAATCTCCGGTCCACACTGTGAACTGAGCACGCTCTGAAAGAGAGAGAGAGACACCACAGCTCAGCAGCGTTAGTGTTCAGGACACTTACCATGTCCTATATTTGAGCTGTAAGTGTGTAGTGTGATTAAAGGACCAACAGGGACTCACCGTGACTCCCCTCTGCTGACTGACTGTTCAACCTGTCCATCAAACACAGCACACACAGAACATGTCAACTCAGCTATTCATGCTGGGACCAGGACAGATTTGAAGGACCATGTTTAAAGTCCAACAAATTCTGTTTTATAAATAATAATGATCAAATCAATGAAGAAATGTATTGCTATTAAGCAAGCATAACGACATTGCAGTTGCGTTAACCTCATTTGGTGCATTATATTAAAAGACGTTGCACATATTTACGAGGAATAAACGATGAGTAATAAATATCTGCCATAAAAAGTGAATCTACGCATATAAAGTATTATACAATAACACAACATTCATTGGAATGACACTTTAACCAGACGTCCGTACCTGATGGGGGCCAGAGGTTTGCTGGGAAGTGAAGAGTCTTTTCCTTTGAACTGGAATGAGATGACGGCGTACGGACAGACCTGACGAGGCCGCTGCCGCAGCTCGTCGAATGAATACTCGTAGAAGTATTGCTGAAATAAACAGAGCATCGGGCGTTCAATGCCACTTCTTTGAAAAGGAAAACTCAACTTTAAATCATAGAAATATTTCAACAAAACAATATTTTTTTTGTAATTTTATTTTTCACTTGGGAATTAAAAGCCCTCACGCAAGTCACCTGACTACCTGGGCGTGTCATGTGACTTGTGTTGCTAATCTCAGAATGTGATGCAAACACATTCTGAGATTTATGTTTACCATTTTCACTGTCCATCAGATGATTAAATCTGATGAACCACTTCATCAAATCCCTTCTGTCTAACTGTAATAATGTGCAGGGATGACTCGTCTACTTCTGTGGATTTAGTATTGTAGCTTCTGGAAGCAAAGATGTTTTCCTGTGTGTGTCTGTGTGTGTCTGCGCGTGTTTTACCTGTCTTGTGGGGACAAAGGTCAGACTACACAGTGACATTGAGGAGACTCAACTTTCTTTTGGGAACAATTGCTCACCCACAGAATGTAAATCATTACATTGACTTGGTTTAAGGTGAAACTAAGGTTTAGGTTAGGATTAAACTGTTTATACTTGTATCTATGGAGGCATTTAAACTCAATGCTCTGCATTGTTCTCTGAAACCCCAGAGGGCGTACAAACAAAATGTACTGTGAACAATCAAAAGGACTACGATTTAAACCCGTAGATATACACACAGACTGTAGGTGTAACTGGCAAAACGCCATAAACCAACCTCCTTTATGCGGAGGAGGGATTGTAATTCTCTGTAAACTCATATCTCATATTCATGGACTACTTTATTTCCTTTGTACAAACCCTGTAAAGAGAGAAGTCAAGTATTAAATGAATCATAAGGAAACAAAAGGTTGAATATCCAGTTAAATATTTGATTTGGCTGCAAAATATTTACTCAAATGAAGATTCTAAAGACCTGTTTCTAAAGCATTTAAATGTGAATTAGCCTTCTTTGAATAATCCCGAGACATGTAAATAGTTCTTTTATCAGTCAACAATTTGTGACAGTCACGTGATCGCGCTCACCAAGGTACACGACCAAACGCCGGCTTCACTAACGCGAGTAAAAACCTACGAGTTAGGCTGGTAGCAGTTAGTTAAGACACATCTCCAGAGAAGTCAATGCAATGTGTGTGCGTGTGTATGGGTGTGTGTGTGGGTGGGTGTGTCCTTACCTGTGTGAGCTCAAAGGCGCGGTAGGAGGCGAGAGATGTGACCTTGCTGGCGTTCTTGGAGGTGTGGCTGTCGAAGCGGGGCGTTGGATCCAGAAGGTTCTTCATGTTTTCATAGATGCTCTTCACTTTCCCCTGAAATAAAAAATAAGGATGTATAAACTTTTACGTCATATCGAGTACAGAACGAAGGATTTGAGAGAGCACTTAAAAACCAGGATTAGTGTCTGTGTTCAAAATCAATTATCATTCACTATAAACAGTTCAAATGTCTAGATAACCATCATACATAGTGGAATTTAGCTTACTCCCATTATCCCCTAATGCTCCATTAAAAAGTTACAATAGATGGTCGCATGCTACAATCATGCACTCTGTTAAAAAATGTTAACGTCACTGACTGCCAAATGAAAGAATGTCCTTTTAATTCTCTACAAAGACGTAGTGACGAGTGAAGATGAGCATTTTGGTGACCTTGCCGGTGCATTTCGTCTCAACAACACTGTCAGCAGAGAGCTTTTTTCTATTTGTTTATATTTTTCAGTAAGGTCGGTGTCACGGAACGTGCTTTGTTGTGGCGAGTTTAAATTTCCAGCACTAAACAAACCTTCCCTTTAGTCAGTGACTCTGAGAAGGGGTGAGGCAGGGGAGAGATATTTGGGATTGCCAAGCCAGTGTCTCTTTAGATGTTTTTTTCCCCCTTTGCTCCACCCCCATGCGTCAGCTTGAACTCCATTTCTGTCTCATGGGGATTCATTAATGGTTCAAACCATGTTTTTTTTTTTTTTTTTAAGCTGTCAGCATTTGTGGTCTGTGTTCACGTTCACCTTCGGCAAACAAAGCAGGGCGCAGGAACTCTAGTTACGTCACATGTTTCCTACCTCCGACAGGTGAACATGTGACCGGCTGATTTACCTTCATCACTTTGAAGATGACGATCTCCCCCGTGACTCCAGGAGTTATGGCGTTGATCTGAATCAGGTCCGAGTACCTGGACAGGTACACTCCTAGAGACACACACACAGACACACAAAGAAGAGAAAAATAAAGATCACACAGAAGTCAAATTCATCAAAAAGGTGGCGTCGAATTGCACATTCAGCACTCCGACTGAAAAAAAGCTCACAATGAGCAATAAACAGATGGAAAAGGTAAAAATATATGAATGTAGTGTTTTATTTTTCGTGTGCATCAGCTTGGATCTGTTCACTCCTACCTTTAATGGGGTTTCCCAGCACTGTGACCCGGCTCTGACCCACAAGCAGCCCCTTCTCACAGAGCAAGGGCAGCTACAACAGACAATTCAGGGAGAAATTAGACTTTACATTGGGTAAAATATCATTATTTAAGGATGAGGCTCATTGACAGTTGTTAACCAATTCTGGTCCCAGTCTTAACCGTTCGTTACAATCTAGTTTCTTTTTCGAGAGAACATCCAGTCATTCTGTCCGTGATGTTGTTTACTCCACGGCCCCAAAGTACGAGGCAAAGTCCCGTCATTAAGACATAAACACTCTGCAGTTTGGTTTATTTTTCAAATAAGGTAATAAACGAACAAAAGTACTGCACGGTTACTGCTTGGACGTGCTCGTCCAACTAAGACTTCTTCTTCTTCTAGTCCTTTTATACACCAGCAAATAACAACACTGCTAATTAACAGCTTGATTCACATTAATCTCACCTTAACAGTATCAGTCAACAGGAAACAGTAGCTCTCCTCCAGCTCTTTGTCTGTCCTCCCATCTGCCTTCATCTCCTTCCTCTTCTCCACAAACTGACACAAACAAACAAACTTGTAACTTTTCTTTCATGGCAAATAGAAATTCAACTGTGCGTTCACAATGAAACTTTGACTATTCTACATCTTTACCAAAACTGCACAACTTGATTTTCTGTGTGCTGCTCATTGTTTACAGAGCGATTAGATGCGAGACCGGTGCTGGAGTTGAGGAGTTGAGAGACGACGCGTACGACCGGATTGTTTCACAAGGAGACATCTTACAAAAAGCTGAATCATTGTGGGTTCCCAGGTTAAATTTAGGCCAATGCGTCTCGCCTCTTTTGCTCTCCACGCAGACGGTTGAACCTGAATTCAACCAAAGCCTCAAACGTGATTAGTCAATACGACTCTGACCACAAACGGAAACCAGATAACGGTGTGTGCCGTTGTGTGCGCGCAACAGTAAACCATCATGCAGCACATGAGATGACCACATTTATTGACCCATAATCTAGTAAACCATTATGTGTAAGTGTTCATTTTTAAATAAATCTGATGTGAGTGAGTGAGTGAGAGAGAGAAAGACCCGCAGCGTTGGAACTAAATCTGAAAAATAAAACTTCTAAAACTTTCCATGAAATTTGTCTGTTTGAGTTTATAGAGGAAGATTTTAAGTATTAAACACGACCGTTCATTATTATTGACTACTATATTAATTAGTTGTATTTTTTTTTTAAACTAAGCATCAACTAAGCATGCCCAGTGTACGTGAATAGTCACGCGATATTCATTTTTCAAGCGTGCTAGTATGGACGGAGATCATTCCAAAAACGATGCTGAAACGCTGTGTGGACGGAGATCAGTTTTTAAAGGAAAACGTATTAGTGTGGATGGAGCCTAAATTTGACCAGATGTAGGAGACTGATCAGCTGACAACTGGCTGTTTGCAACCGGGGGCTGATCCATCATAGCATCTCTACACACAGGTAGCGCTTCTTCATGTTTGCCTATATTTGACAGAGGTATGACATGCAATCACGACCAGATTCAAACCCAGGATGTTATGCGCTGTAACCACTGGGCTACCAAGGCGAGGACATCTTTAAAATGGTCAATGCCTCTCCGTCCGTCCGTCTCTCACCTCTTTCTCCAGCAGCTCGCTGTGGACGAGCCGAGGTTTGCAGTAGGTGAAGCAGCCAGCGGAGCCGGTGTCGATGCAGCTGGAGGTCAGGATGGTCATCATGTCGTCATACTCCCTGGACTCAGTGGAGACATACTGGAACAGAGCTGAGAGGAAGACACACGCGTCAGTTTATGTTCCCTGGACCCACTCTTAATCCTTAATCACTTTCTCACGAAGGATTGTTAATAATCAGAAATCGTTTTCTGCATTTATAGACTACAGTCCCTGACAAAAGTCTTGTCACTTATCCATTTTGTAGAAACAACAGCTTATAACCTGACTTTTAATTAATCCATTGGTTTTAGAAATGGCTCATATGAAAGCTGAAACCGTCCCAAATTATGTTTAATATACTAAAATAAATTTGCTTCACTGAAGAAAGATTGATCATTTAATGAACACAGAAAGGTCAGATTTTGGCAAGACAAAAGTTTTGTCGCCTACAGAGTGTAATGTGAAAATTGAACAAATAATTTATTTCAAATACAAAAATATGTTGCATAACATCAGTGAATTAAGTAGTGGTGCTGTGAGATCCATATTTAATATCTTGTATGACTTCCATGAGCTTGAAGGACTGCATCCATGCAGTTCGACAATGATTCATACAATTTACTGATGAAGTCATCAGGAATAGCAAAGAAAGCAGTCTCGCATGCCTCCCAGAGTTCATCAAGATTCTTTGGTTTCGTCTTCCATGCGTCCTCTTTCATTCTACCCCAGACATGCTCAATGATGTTCATGTCTGGTGACTGGGCTGGCCAGTCCTGGAGCACCTTGATCTTCTTCGCCTTGAGGAACTTTGATGTAGAGATGGAAGTATGCGATGGAGCACCATCCTGCTGCAAAATTTGACCCGTTTTATGGTTGGGAATGTAAGAGGTAGCTAATACTTCTTGATATTTTAGGCTATTGATATTGCCTTCCACCCTGCAAATCTCTCGCACACCCCCATACTGGATGTAACCCCAGACCATGATTTTTCCGCCACCAAACAACTGTTTTCTGGGTGAATCTCGGATCCATGCGGGCTCCAGTAGGTCTCCTGCAATATTTGCGGCGGCTGTGATGTAATTCAACCGAAGATTCATCTGAGAAATCCACCTTCTGCCACTTTTCCAGCGTCCATCCTTTTAGCAGGCTGTGGGCCTTGGCAAATGCCACACGTTTTTTTAATTGCCTTTTGTTTAGTGCTGGTTTCTGGGCACTGATTCGACCATGGAGGCCATTTTGAGACAGAGTTCTACAAACTGTCCTGGTTGACACGGGGACTTGAGGTGACCAGGCCTGGTGGAGCTCTGCTGCAGTGGAAAAGGGGCTGGCCTTGGATTTTCGAGCCAACAAACGGTCCTCCCGAGCAGTTGTCTTGCGGGGTCTGCCGGACCTGGGCTTGTCAAAAACATCTCCAGTCTCTTCAAATCTTTTTCTTATTCTTTGTACTTGACGCTGAGACACATTGAAGGTGTCAGCCACCTCAGCAGTGGATCTGGTCTTCAGCCTCTTGATAATCAACACTTTGGTCTCAGGGTGAATCTTAGGCATGTTGTCAGAGGTCAAGTTGCAGTTGATGTGAAGGTCTGGTGTGCTGGGGTTCTTTTTATACACACCCACTAATTGATTGATCAATTATTGATCACAGGTGAGGCTGTAATCTAGGATTGGGTGCATCATATGACAAGGCGACAAGACTTTTGTCTTTGCAAAAACTGACTCAGTGGGCTTTACCAAGCTGTGAACGTTAGAATGCTTTTCAGCAGTTTCGTTTGGCACCAAAACATTATTTCAAAAGCTGTTAGGATTGAAATTAGCCATTTCTTGTAAAAAAAAAAAAATAAATAAAAAATAATTGATTACAAATATATTTGAGGGGCACTTAAGGTCAACTTGTACCCAAGCGACAAGACTTTTGTCAGGGACTGTACACAACAGTTAAACTCTGCAGGTTTGCTGTAGGAGCAATGATTCACTTGCTAACCTTCACAGCATGTTAGGTTTTATCCGCTAGCAACTGTCGAAACCTACGACCAAGAAGCAAGTGGCAGCTGCAACAAACAGAGTTGGAGGCAAACTATTGTCTAAAATATAATTGTATGTGTTAAAGACGTATCTTCATCAGAACAAAGGGGATCAAACTTGGAAAAACAGTGGACCAAAGTAATTAAAGTACCAGTCATTAAGGCATCATCACTGTTTGACCAATAGTGTATCCTCAGCTCGTAAGGGGAAAAAAGTAAAATTTTGGATCACAACACTCTTTTACAATTAACAGTGACAGCAATAACTCTTAGTGCATCTTTCAGGTGATCCTCAGCCACACCCAGACAGAAGGTTCGGGCGTCTGGGGAGCCTACAGAAACAGCTGTTAGTCCGCCTCCATTATAACTATTGAAGCCTTTTGGTGCTCAATTCTCAGGAGACAAAAGAACCTGCAGCAGCTGCCCTCCTCAGTGTGGAGGAGGGTCAGCTGGAGCGGCAAACACCTGAGAGAGGTGGGGTCAACGTGCATGTCCACTCATGAACATTTGACAAAAGCACAAATATAGACATATATGCCAGACAGGAAGCGAGAGTTGAGAAAAACAATTGACTGACAAAAACACACACACATACATATGGGATAATGTTGGGCTCAGACTAAAGTAAGTAAAACACAAATGGTAAGGTAGACACACATTTACCTGAGGCTTAAACTACAGTCAGTCCTCAGAGCAACAGAACAAACTTACAGCTGAACTCCATCTTGTTGTGGCAGAAACACCAAAGTGTCAGAGTTCTAACGTCTACATTTTTATATCTTGATTCCAGTTTCTCACGCCACAGTCCACCAATCAAATCCCGTCCACTGAACCAACACAAACACACATTTGGTCTCCTCTCCTCATGTCATGCCCTCGGGTCAGGATGACACCGATATTCATACGCACTTTTCTAGGAAATGTTGTTTATCTTTTAAACATGTTTATACATGCTGGGTTCAACAGGAACACATTGTATGAGGTCACAGACACGTCTCAAACCTGTCATCAGACCAAACTCTAACCTCAACTATAACTATAAGTATATATATATATATATATATATATATATATATATATATATATATATACACACACACACACACACACACACACACTATATACACACATATAATATATGTTTAATGCCCTGTCTTCACTTTCTCTTAGTGTCGTTCTGATTAACATTTATCTACTGACGTAACATTACAGACTTGAAGACCAACCTGCTAGAATGTAAACAAACCCAGAGACAGTTACCTTCACTCAGCTAACAAACGTTACACGTTAACGTCAGCTTAACGTCAACATGGAGCCGATATCACCCGATATCATCCGTTTAGACGCAGAAGCTGAATACGTGGAGATTTACCGTCAGTTGCAAATTAAAAGTACAGTTCGTCTGCTAACTGAAAACAGACGTCAACGAGCACGGAACGAGCGTTAGCTTGTTGGCTAACTGCTAGCTAACTAGCATTCTTAGCTTGCTAACGTTACCTCAAAAACACATCACAGCTTGTACAAAGCTAGTATATTGTTCTTTAGTTCATTATAATAAATATACATATATCACAGCACAGTTCAATATACGACACATGACGTCATATCGTAGGTTATGTGTCGTTATGGTAAATACAAATACACACAACTTCTGGGTCCTATGTGTTGTGATTTTATCGAAGACCAGCCCACCTCTTTTCTCCTTGGTCTTCCTCGGTATAGGGAACTTCAGAGGCTCCATGGGCATGTATCTCTGGTAGACCGCCACTTGTGGAGCCGAGGTCCTCCTCTCCATCCTCCCGACGACGGAGCTCAGTCTGTCCGGACCAGGAGCGTCTCTGCTGGCTGGGTGCACCACCTCGGTCACCTCGGTCACATCGTCGTCTCCAACTTCCGCGGCGGCAGCGGCAGCAGCAGCAGCAGCAGCAGCAGCAGCAGACGACGACCTCCTCGGCGGTCGAGCTGCCAGGTTGTTGTCGTCCATTGTCGTGTTTGTCAAACCAAACCGACGCGTCTTCTTTATCCTCCCAACCGTCACTGTTTCTTCGGCTAGAGCCCCGTGTTGCCACCGCTGTTACCTCCCGATCCAACACACATCCAGAGGCTCGCGCGCCATGCTCTTCCTGGAGCAGAGGTCTTCTTCACTGAAGATTATAACTGCAGTTAGAAGTTACGTTAAATGTCGCTTTACCGCCATCGGGTGGACGTAATTAGCACCTTCAGCGTCAATGAGTTTATTTTGATTTTATTTTTTCGAGGATAAGAAAATAAATAAATACAATGTAAAAATGTTATTAAATCCAAATCCAAATTAATTAAGTTAAATTATGATATTGTAAAGTATCTCCCGATTTCAGTGGTGGAGGAAGTCTTTTACTAATGTAGAAATACAAGTAAAGTACAACAAGTAAAAGTCATCATTGAAGGGATTTATATCTGTGATGATAAATGTTGGGATAGAAAATGTCATTGTGCTGTGTAATGTTCTACTGTGACTTTTCTAGTGTGCTTTATTCAATGTTTGACAACCCTTAATGGGATGTCTGCTGTGACCTCCTTCTCCAGGAAGGATCCCAAAAGGAGTGTTTGTGGAATGTTTAGATTAGATCAGTCGTAGATCTTTGATGTAGGGAGTGCAGACAATAATCACAGAATGTTCAGTTTAGAGGTAGTAAACCACAGGAGGTACAGATTAGGATCTGTCATCAATGTTTTATTTCAGATACTATTGTGAATTGTGTAGATTAGAAACAAACCAGGTGTCTTAGTGAGAAAGACACCTTCCCCCCTTCTCTCTTGATGCTCTGACCCTTTAGAAGATGTCACTCTCTCCATCCCACAGATGATACAGGCACTCTGTGTGATGATTGAATCTTCTCTGCGCAGAGAATAAATACTTTAAGGACACGCTTCTTTCCTCAACCAGTAACCACCCATTCACCAACCGGTTTCTTTTGTAACAATTTATTGATGCTTATGTTTTGAGACAATCCACACATTAGTTGATACCTCAACTAAACATCATCAACAGCATCACAACTATCCCGACGATGGTAACTTATAATATCTAACCGATTGTCTTGACAATGTACAGTAAGTCATATTTCATGTGTGATGTGTAAGCACATATATAACAAACAGACATGCTTGGCTTTGTTCCTACATTCATATACAAATAAGCTTAATATACATTCTTTACATACATACAGTACATACACAACAGGCTCCTCCTCCTTCAGGGCTTCTCTGACCGCCATGAAAATACACTGAATATTTCACTCTGCCTGCAGCTGCAACTGAAAATACACTAAATATGCGTTTAATGCATTTGGAATGCCTTTTAAGTAGACGTCATGCTAAAAATACATTACTGTATCGGTAACTGTGTCTCCCATGAATTCCAATAGATGTTCATTCATTCATTAACAAATCGTTGTGACTGTAGACGGATGGGCTAGTAAGTTAGTTGAAACTTTATAAATCCATCAGAACAGGGTGCGCAGCTCTGTTTCTTTTCCAGTGTTTTCAGACATTACAAGTGATTTTAAGACATTATTTAAAGAGTTTTAGAAACAGAACAAGTTAAGAGAATTGCTGAAGAGCAAAGATTCCTTCAACTGAACTTGAAGAATGAAAATCCTCCAAATTACAGATACAAATACACAAGTTTGACATGATTACTGTTTGATTGGTTTTGGAAAGCTGTAGAAGACTCACGCTTTGGACTTTGACTGACATGTTTATTTTGCCATATTCATTAAATCTCTACAACAGAAGTGGTCAATACTGGAATTTCAGTTTCATTCTTTTAAATATTAAATTAATGTTGAGTCATAGTTACAGCTGCAAGCATGATTCATCATCATCACTCATAGGGTTACCTGAGAATGCTGCTGATATTGTTTACAACAGAACTGTGTTAAAACCCATTTAGTGTCTTTTCTGCTGGTCAATTTAAAACTGTGGGTGGAGCAGTTCCTTTTTTTAAAGGTTCCCTGTGGAGTCAAAAAAGTCACGTGGGGTAACTTTAACAGACCAAACAGTTACCCCATTAATAAAGTGTTGACAGCCTTGTCCAAAGGCAGGTCAAGTGCAAATATACGTGAGCTAATGTTCGGAAGAAATGAATACAGGATAAAGAAAACTGGGATCAAACAAGCGAGGAAATACTTTCCTTCAAAAGGTAAAACCTCAAAGGAACAAAGTTGGGCTGTGAGGTGATTTCTGGCATATTGACCACAGTTAGAACTGCAGGTCACGTGACAGCCGCTGGCCCAAAAAATACTTAAAACCATAATATCATTTTTCTGAGCATCAGAAACACTCAAGTCGTTGCATTGTTGTAAGTTGAGCTATTAGGTCGATAAGTCCCAAGGGGAAAAATATTTTTGCAGTATGTGGCTGGTTTAGCAGGAAGCCATCTTTGAACACGGTATCCAGTTCTCCTGATACATCCATGCACACTTACAGTCACACGGGGCCAGTGTTCCCGGGGCGCTGTGGTGACCTTTATGGAGGAAACTCACCAACAGTGAGCATACAGCAAGTACAGAGTTCTGGATCACGTCGGCCAGTGTTTGTCCGACGTCCTATTGATGTGACGTCATCATCAAGTCCCCAATTTGAATTGGCTGCCGGTCCCTCGGTGAGTTTTGTTCGGTTCTACATCATCAGCACCGCAGGGAGTCAACCTCGCCGGTGTCCATGACGACCTCTTCCACCTCCTCCATCACCTCCCTCTCCTGCTCCTCTCGACAGGGAGAAGCAGAGGATGGAGGGGAGGCGGGACCATCAACGGCAACTCCGCTCAGAGTCTCTCCTCCTCCTCCTCCTCCTCCTCCTCCTCCTCCTCCTCCTCCTCCTCCTCCATTATCCATCTTCCATCCTTCTCTGGCTCCTGGCTCTGCACAAATCTCCCCATCCTGTCCTGTCTCCATCTCACCCGTCTCTGTATCACCGACTATCTGCCTCGTCTCACTGTCCATCCCCGTTTCTCCACCTAACTCCAAACCCATCTCACCATCGACACCCAAACCTGTCTCCATCTCCCCACCCGCCAAACTCCCCCCGGCATCTTTACCCAGACCGGGATCTTTGTCTCCCGCCTCTCCCTTTGAACCCAGCCCCGTTTCCATCTCTCCCCGCATCTCCCCCTTTTCATCCTCAAGCCCCGAATCACCGTGCAAGCTCAGACCTGTCTCACCAAGTGACCCTATCTGTCCACCCAGACCCGTCTCCAGACATTGTCCTGTCTGTGGCGGCTGGTCTCCGGTCAGCGCTGCGGCTTCTTTGGCTTGTCTGATGCAGTTGATCCACTGTTGTTTGTTGAAGGCGTCGCTGGCCTGGAAGCAGTGGCTCTGCAGCTGACCGCCTGTCCGGTCCGAAACCCGGAAGAAGTTCTTTGCTGTGAGGAGAGAGAGACAGCAGGAGACATGGAAGGTTATTATGGTCACACATCTGTGTTCAACAGGTTGAAATCCATGTTCATTCAGAAAGCCTGAGAATTACTTAAACGTAGTTTTTGAAAAGGATTTTAAAAATGTGTTGAACTGCAACCAAGATATGTACTTAGCAGAACATTTTATAGTGTAAAAAAGTCTGGTTGACATTATAAGGTTCCGTTTCTAAATGATATCAAACAGATCTTTGGAATCAATTTGTTTCAAACCTCAACGTACAAAATCTGAATATGGAATACTGAACGAATGTGATCAAATTAAATTTCAAACCATAAAAACATTCGAAAATTATAAAATACAAATTCATACACAGCTAATTAAAATGGCGTTGTAATGGCGTTGCAATTACAACGCCATTCTTGCTTTTTGCTTTTCATTTTTACGCCATGTAGTCTGTACTGACTGCAATGTAAACACACATATATGCGTAATAATGCTGCACTCAGAGCAAATGACGTAGTATGAAAAGTAAGAAAGCGAGTCAAACAAACACAGGACTTTCAACCAGGAGATCAGTGTTCATGTCCCAAAGTGTTGAGTCATTTTGAAGTTACATTAGTGATGTTTGTGACGTGTTTTCTGTACTTATGTCACGTTATTTACATTTTACTTAGTTGACATACTTATTTTAAGCCCAACCGTGATGTTTTTCTGAAACCTAACTAAGTGGTTTTGTAACCTGAAACGAAGGACTCCAAACCAGCCTCAGACCAAAGGTACATTAAATGTATTTGGGCTGTAGCGTGCACTTTACTGTGTTATAGTATGAAACTGGTTCACAGCATTTGTTTTACAACGAACAAAAGAAAAGCAAATGCATGGAAACGGATCCTGATTTCGTCTTGTGTAACGACAAAATAAAATCTGTGTTTGTATCTGAGGTATCTGAAATGTACTGACTCCGCTCGTTGTTGCTGAAGGCTCCTCTGATGGACCCGCCCACTCTCATCTCTCCGTCTGATAGGTCCTCCAGGTCCAGCTGCCGGATGGGGATTGGCTGGCGGCAGAGCTGGTAGTTGACCGGCTGGTCGTTCGACGAGGCGGACCTGGTGATTACGAGGACGTCCTGGAAGAGGAAGACGTGGAGCTTCTGGAAATAGAGAGAGAGAGAGAACAGACGTTCATTTCTCTTCACTGATTCCTTCATCCGGTGTTTTTGTGTATAATTGAGTGTTTTTTGATCCTGTTTATCTGAAATTCGGTTCATAAAATTGCTAAAATAATCAAACTAGTAGCAACAGTTTCTTTACGGAAAAGATAAAAGCTGAAAGTAAACTATGTGAACTTTAAAAGAAGATATATCGTTATACTGTATATAGAGTTATGAGTTATATTTATATGTTATGGACCTTTAAAGAACCCACCCTCACATTACAAAGCACCGAAACACACTACTCAAAGGTAGGAGAGAGAGTGTGAGATATAATATGATAACATCATTTCAACCCAAACCACAATGTTTAACCTTTGGATTCAGGGACTTCATAGCCCACATGAGTTAAACAGAAGAATGAGAGAGGATATAAACGTATGATAAATACAGTGTATGTATAACAGGGGTTGGGAGATGGTGGTGGGTAATGAACTGAAGGAATCTACTGACGAGTCCTCTGTTGTTCTTCAGCTCTCCGCGGCAGCTGAGGGTCCTGGACCGGGCGATGAGCTCGTCCCTCTGTCCGTCCTCCGTGTACAGCAGACGGTCCTTGTAGTACTGACACTCGGATTCCCCCGTCCGCCTGTTGATGTCCGCCACCACGCTCTGAACCATCAGCATCTGCAGAGCAAACAGACGACATCCAACTCCGTTCAGACGCATTTTATGTCATCATTCATTTTCCGTTTTTAATGAGAATCAACAACCTGTCGATGTATCTGACTGAGCTACGTGCAATTGATGAAACAAGTTGAATTATGCAGAAAGCAGAGAACCCTGGCGCCTCATACGACAAAATAATAAAATAAAAAAAACACAAAATGTTCATATTTAATTGATTTTTTAACACCTACCGCCTCGTCCAGGTGCTGCCGGTCCGGGTGGTCGTTAGCCGTGTGCTTCAGGATCTCCCTCAGCAGCAGCGGGTATTTCACCAGTCGGCTGCGGGGGATGTCCAGGAAGTTCCACAGGTCCAACTTCCTGCTAAAGGGAGACTGGCGACAGCGCTGCAAGAAGTCCTGGACCCGCCGATCCTGCTTCTTCTGGTCCAACAAGGCCTTGGCCTTCACCTGGTTACTGCAGTACGAGGTGTAGGAGGAGAGACAGGGAAGCTGCAGGGACACAGAAACACCCGGTTTATCCACAGCACAGGAGGCAATGAAACATTCATTATTCTCAGTATGTCAAGAGAAACACTCACCCAGTCAGTCAGGAGGTGTCCCACATGTTCTGTGGACCCGTCAGGTTTTCTGGTTTCTCGGAGGCGACTCAGCAGGTCTGAGGAGAGACGGTTTGGAATCATTAAACAATTTAAAAGAGGTAAAGACCCAGAGCAGCACAGAGTTTTTCTATAATCACTAAATGCAAAGCTCCAACCTGATGGCTGAGTTTTTTAGAATTTCAGATCTCAACCTGTGAAAACATTCAGCTAAACAAGCACGAGTCCCATTCAAAGCAATGCTTTTGGTTTGCAACATTGAAAAAGTGGAGAATCTCTCTTTTTCTGAAGAGGCTCACTATTTATCAGGTTAAAGTTCAGTAGGTGTGAACTCATCCAGTCTCCTTGTCTGCACTTTATCTGCAGTGTTGACTTCATGAGCAGAGGGGACGCTGGAGGTTTTTCATTCACTTCTACAGTCGCCATCTGGTGGCTATTACAGGAACTGCAGCTTTAAGTCCATTTCAGACCTGGAACATATAGCGTCTTCATCTATCTGTTTTAGTTAAAGTGCCTTCGTGTCAATCAGGCGTAGATATATTTTAAGTTAATGTTCCTCTTGGCTTTCTTCAGACATCCAGAGCTGTGTTCTCACGCGCTGCAACATGTTTCAAAACAGAGGATTTGTAAATATTATTTTGGCGTTGAGGCATTAATAAATATAATGAGCATGAGGGACGCTCGTCCCCGCTTCTCACGGTGAATCCACTGATACAGTTTTGCATTAACTTGGAGACGTGTTATATTGCCATCAGAATAATGTAAAGGTGTGCATGTCTGAAGACACCTGGTGACCTTCCATCAGATGCAGCCTCCTACCTTCATGCAGGGGTATCAGCGAGTCCAGAGTGCCGAAGATCTGGTTCAGTTCCTGCTCAGTCATGATTGACAGCTTCAGCATCGGGTCATGGTAGGCCTGCAGCACACACACACACACACACACACATGAGCATACTCTCTGTAGAATAAATATAGCAGGAAAGTCAGTTCCTCAAAGAAAAATAAAGGTTTTTATTTACCTTCTTAGCCAACTTGAGATCCTCCACCAAGTCCTGCTCGCCCTGAGCCAACTCAAATATAGCCTGCAGAGGAAAACAAGTCTTAGAAATGAGTTTGAGTTATCTGTAAGTGTTAAGAGATGGACGAGTGAGCCTATGCTGGGTTTCTGAAGGAAAGAAATGTGCTATTCTTTAAATATTTTGTTTGTGGTTGTAATGATGTATGTTCTGTATTCATTGTATTTATTATATTTCTCTTGTACATTTTTTTTATCCATTGAGAATAAATACTGAATTTACTAAAAACTAGTCTACAAAAGAAAGAGGATAATGTTGTTCTGTGATCATTTTTATTGGATTCCAACTGATTGTAGTTCTGTAAATAAGGAAACCAGAAAAATCCTCAGATTTTCTGTTGTAAATAAAAACAAAAGTCCTCCAGCAGGCGTGTTTCTCTCACCTCTTGTCGTTTTATCTCTTTGGGGCTCAGAGGCTGCGTCGCTCCCAGTCGGACGTCAAACGTCTCGCTCCAAAGCTTGCTGTCACGCCGCTTGGAGGCCGGGGCCGCTGCCGTGGAAACCCTCGTCGCCGTCATGGAAGAGGAAGGGTTGGAGACCGTCGCCGAGATAACGCGCCTCTTCATGGTGGAGGAGGATGAGGAAGAAGAGGAGGGAGGAGGAGGAAGAGGAGGAGGAGCGGCTCTCTCCGTCTGACTCTCATTACGGAAACTGATGGAGCGCTGCAGAGACAGAGAGATGGTTAAATAATACAATAATACATTTTAATAATAAATATAACAGCTAATAAGAAGAGCTAATTTGGCCATCCCATTTATATTTTGTTGTTACGTGACTCACACTTGGCAGGAAACTCAGTTCAAAAAGAAGAACAACTGTGTTAGAAAATATCTGGTTCTGCGGTGATAAAAAACTTCAGGTGAGAGGTTAACTACGACTCCCAAGATGCACCACTGTAGGCAGGTGGAAGCTAAAGTTTTTCTGTGTTTAGAAAATTGATTTAACTATCAGCAGCTTAAATCACTTTGGATTTCGATGGACATTTTGGATGAAGTCAGCAACAATAGCATTCTACAAACAGTTCTGATTCTATAACAACAGCTGCCTACCTAGAGTCATGGGTATTGTAGTCTATCAGCTGTCTGCCAGGACAAACAGACGTCAGACACAAAGTGGAAATCCTTAAAACTGGAGGTTATAACATTAACCTATTAGATTATAATATTATTCTGGAAACGTGTCTCTCTTTGTTCACCTGCAGCGTCTGACCAATCCTCTTCAGCTGCGCCGTCTTGACGGGCGGCAGCAGGCCGGCCAGAGACGTCACCCTGGACACGAGTTTACTGCGCTTGGTGCCGGGCTCCTGGAGGAGAGAGCAGAGTCAGACTAAGTCAAACTACGACTGCCAGAGGTGATATTAAAACAGACGTTCCGCCGTCTGCAGCTGCTGGAAGGGCCTACAAAGGGCAGTGCAGGTCGGGGGCAAACTCCCCTAAAAAAAGCAAACTACAACCAAGTTAATTTCCCAAAGCGACGTCTTCAAATGACTGTTTTTTCTTCTGACCAACAGTCCAAATGTTTTTAAGGAAGCTTAATGTGGAAAAATGTCTTTGATTTCACGACACAGCATTAAAAAAATTCCCAAATATACAGTTTACAATGTCCTCACAATGGAGGTTAAGATTAGATGATTGAAACAGTTTTCTGGCAATAGACTCATCAATCAGCTGACAAAATGTTTGTGGAACAACTTGTCCACTTTTTAAACAGCGTGTGTGTAGATGGTTCTCGTATGTTTTACGGGAAACTATTATTATTATACTGCAGGTTAAACAATAGTGTGACTCAAAGGCCTCCCCTTTGTGCCACACGCACACACACGCACACACACACACACACACACACACACACACAGTACACAGGCCTCTGTAATATTAGGGGGAATGGAATTGGGAAAATGCCACCAGGCTGATTGTCCTGGATACAGACTTACAATAAATCAATATGTGTGTGTGTGTGTGTGAGTGTGTGTGTGTGTGTGTGTGTGTGTGTGTTTGTGTACAGTCATCTGACCTACTGGAACACAGGAACCATCAAACTCTGTTTGCATCAACACATTCAGGAACCAGTCGACCAAAAATAAATCGACGTCGGATGTTTTTTGGTTTTTCGTCCTCGATTGTTACGGAGTCACAGAAAGATTTTCAGCTTCAAGTTCACGTCCCAAATCTGACAACGGGTTCTCCTCAGTTTTCAATGATTTCACCAAAAAATAAGTAAAGCTGTGACTCTGAAGCCTTTGAAGCTGCTGTTGAAGGTCCGATGAGACTCTAAAATATAAAATGTAAATACCAGTTTAATGTATGTGACTCAATTCAGTGTGTTTTCTCTCATTAAGCAGAGGACACTGCTGTATTTATTAAAGATACACATTGTTGTTTTAAAAAGATTTTGGAGGTAAATCAATAAATAAATAATCATGTTTATTTGCTTCACAACAGTGTTATTTCCAAGTTTCCATTGGACATGTTGTGATGGGTGTTTGTGTGTGACGGCGCTTCAGTTGATTCATTCTGACAAAGATCAATTCAGTGCAGTTGGAAAACAACAGACTCATTTTCTAATCACAGCAGGTTTACAGCAGACTGACTGTGAAAAAGCTCCCAAAAACATTCAAGTCAAAACGCCGAATCACTTTATCTTATTGATGTTGTTGTGTCATTGCACACAAAGCAATGCAGGATAACAGCATGGCAGGCTGAGGGGGGAACAACAAACCCATGACTTTCAGCCCCAAAAACTAAAAGTAAAGTTGCTATTTTGTCACACAAGTCATCAGTGACATCAAGTTAACGTCAACCACGCTATTTTCCTAAACCTAACTAAGTAGTTTTGTTGCCTGAACCTACCAAACTTCCTGTCAGGCGGATGTTTATTTTAAAAAGACAATATTTAATGAGTTTATATTGACGCGCCATCACTGAGACGTCTGAAACTGATGCTAGAGAGATACGTAGTGTCATAGTTTAAGGCTTAGTGCCATCATTTGATGCATTGGTGTTAGAATGTGTTGCCTGTCAATGCACATCAAACATATTCTAACAATGCAGACATGGATGGGCTATCCATCTATCTATCTATCCATCCATCTATCCATCTATCTATCCATCTATCTGTCTATCTATCCATCTATCCATCTATCTATCCATCTATCCATCTATCTGTCTATCTATCCATCTATCCATCCATCCATCTATCTATCCATCTATCTGTCTATCTATCCATCTATCTGTCTATCTATCCATCTATCCATCCATCCATCGATCTCGTTCCTTATTCTATGAGCTGACCCGTTGCCAAGGCGTTAGAAACAAAAGTGACACCTGGACAGGAAGAAGAGGACACGAGATGACATAATTGAAGGAGCTCCATAGAAAACCATGTAGTAAACATGACATAAATGTTTGTTTCATGTGTATCTTTTGAGGAAAGTGCCAGTCTCCTCATCGTCCACACAGATCTGATGTTTTTGTCTCTTCAGTGGATGTTTTAGTCAAAGGCTTCATGTACGTCATGATTAGTCAAAGCATTTTTCGTAGCATTTTATTGCCTTTTGCTTTTATTGATACACCAACGTTTTAACCTCAGCCAAGCGCAAAAGATTTTTTTTTTTTATGTGTAAATGAAAACAGATGGTTGGAAAAGTGCGGGACTTAGTGCAGGACTGCTTGAGCAAATGATGAACAGAGCTGAGAGGACACAGAACATCTAAGAGCAGCTTCACATCATGAAAAACAACACGAGGTTCTAGGTATGAGGCCGGCCGCTTTGAGGCCTTCAGCAGATTCTGCTTTTACATCTGTTGTTGTCACGAAGCATTCAAGTGACCTTCTGTGTACATAAAGGAGACATTTATGAAGGAACTCACTGATAAGAATGTGTTCTACTGAAAACTAACAACAAGAGACAGAGTACTTATTTATTTCTGTTTCAAAGCTTCAAGCACCACAAACCAAATTCCATTCACCTCCAACGTGTTTGCTTGACAGCAGACATTTTAGTGGCAAACAGCCAGTCAGGGAGGATCTCAAGGAGTAAATAGAACAAACTTTCCAAAAATAATTACAGAAATCCTTCAGAAAATGCAAGAATATTAACTTTGATCAAAGTGAAACTATCCCAAAAAAGGTCTGATAAGTTTAGCATGAAACAGTATAACCTGAATACTTCTAAAAGATACTTAAGGTTACATTAACTACAAAAAAATACATAAAAAACAGTATTAGCAGCAGTAGAAGTAGTAGAATATCTCCTCCGTCTTACCTCCAACTGTTTCCCCATGTTGCTGTTGTTCCCCTTGACGAACCCCACAGAGCATCTACACTTGAACTGGTGTACCAGCAGCCAGGAGGGCTTTTGTCCCATCACCATACTGCTCGACACAAAGCCCAGCACAGGATCTGGACCTTTCCTCAGTACCAAGACAGCGCCCGGAAATATGTTCAAACTGGTCAGAGGTGGTTTAACGCTGGTAAATATCTGATACCAACAAGAGAAGTGACGAGAAAGAGTCTGGCTCTGGTCGATGGTCCAGTAAGAGAGATTGTGAGGCGGCTACAGAAAGTGTGACACTTACAAAATGTGAAGAGCGAGCACGGTACCAGTAGAGCTTCAAGAAGGTGTGAAGAACCCAGAGTCCAAATGGGGTTTAGTGCTGGTTCTAGAAATACTGTACTGGTTAAGAATCCACAAGGAAACTGGAGGGTCTAGAAAGAGTCGGATACAGGTTTTGTGTCCAGAATATGTCTGGTATTCCGTACTTTACAGTGTCCACAAATAATTTGGTAGCAGCAGATCTTCCAGAGTGAACTGCAACTAGAAGAGCATCCACAAAGTCTTTCGGGCTTTTTTGGTATCCAAGAAGTGCCTGATACCAGTACAGAGCCCGGAGAGAAACTAGTACTAGTACGTTTTCTTGGTAGTGTCCTGGAAGCGCCTGGTGCCGTCTAGAGGATATCTGGATCCAGCTCGGTACTGGCAGTGTTGAGAAAGAGTCCAGTAAAGGTTTAGTCCTACCAGAGTTCAGACAGTTTAGACCCTCTGGAGCTCTTATTCCAGTTTTCTGTCTGACTTCTCTATTAAATAGTATTTTAAGCTTCCTCACTCTCAGTGACGGGTGTTCATTCGTCCCCTTCCTCCTGAAAATGAATCTCTCTCTCTCTCTCTGACACACTTACTCACTGGCTCCCTCACCCACTCACTTTACTTCCTTCCTTCCTTCCTCCCTTTTCCCCTGGCTTCTATTTCTTTCATTTATAACGTGAGTATATATTCTAACATTTCTTCATTCCAAACAAATCCCATGAAAAGATAAAACAACGAATGCATCTTATAACAAACCTGTTATATCTTCTTCTTCTTCTACAAATACTCTCTAGAGCACCAAATGTGGATTAATCCGCCGCTGAAAATAGTCCCCAACAAATGCACTATTCCCTCCTGTTTGATAAAAACTACACTAACCAGCTGTTTAAGGAAATTATTGAGTCTTTTTCTAGAAAATAAATAATATATTTGTGAGGTTTAATCTTAAGATTTTACCACTGAGTGTGGAGCTGAAAGACACGGACAATGTAGGAAAGTCAGAAAAAGTAGAAAGACGTACAAACACGGTTTTGATTTGATGACAATGGGAGAAAAACATAACCAGCTTTAACATTTAAGTAGAAGATTAAAAAAATCAATGATAAGAAAAAGCCGTGCAATCAATTTTTACTCAAGTACAAGTTAGCAAGTTTTAGTGGCAAAATGTACTTAGGTATCTCAGGTAAAAGTACTTTTACTTGTACGAAAGCGTCTTCATGTTGTAGTTAATCAAGCAGCTTAGAGTTAACTACTTTTTACCGTGTTTGATAGTTTAATCTACAACAATGCATCATATTTACATGCAGTGAGGAAAAAACTACAATATTTCCCTAAAAACTGTTGTAAAGTTGATGTAAAAAGTACAATATTGTACTTTAAAAAATGCAAAGTAGACACAAACAAAACAAAAATCCCACATAAGGTACAAATATCTCAAATTCTAACTCAAGTATCTTCATTATCATGTGTTATCATCACTTGAATATATACACACTGACATGAGGCTGAATGGAGCAGATACTGGAGCTACTGGTGTCACTGGGACTGGACTGTTCAGTCAATGTCAATCAGAATTGTAATTACTGAAGAGAGAGAGAGAGAAAGAGAGAGAGAGAGATAGAGAGAGAGTCGCCTGCAGGCAGCCAGAGCTCTGCATGGTTTTACAGCAGTTTTAAAGTCAATTACTGTGTCTACGTCGTGTGTATGATTGTATTCATATATCTGTTTACGGAGCCACACTGTGGGGATGAAAACACTACATGTTAAGTTTAGGTTTGGTAAGAAGAGAGGCGGCCTACATCGGTAAGGGTTCAGGTGGTTATAGAGCTGACACAGTTAGGTGATTATCAATTAACAGTTTCAGTTTCCAACTGCTTAAATGGAGGTATAATCTGAATATCTTTGGGTTTTGGACTGTTGAGTGGACAAAACGAGGTATATGAAGACAACAAGGGGCTCTGGGAGATTAAAATGGGCATTTTATTCCACTATTTTCTGACATTTTAAAGACAAAACGACGGTTAAGGTTCAGGTCTCCAGGGAATAGAGTCGATGTAATGTCCATTATAATAGGTCGACTAGTTATAGCTTGCTACATGAGAAGCCGAAACAAAGAAAGTTAAACTCACACACACACACACATCCTGGATCAGCGCTATGTAATGACATATCAGAACGTCATGGATACTGTGTATTGTTTTTAGAAATGCTCCTGTGGTTTCCTTTGACCGCTGTGACTGGCATCACTGACCTCTGACCTGACATGAACCCCACCTCGTGTTAATGTTTGAAAGATGCCCTTGAGACGCTGCTCCATTGTCTGTGAATACGACAGCTCGGTCGTGGACGCCCAGAGAGGAACAAAAGTCACTGATCCAAGAACAGATTCTGTTGTCTCTAAGGACTCAGACGAACCCGCCTCATTTCATCTGAACTGTGACACATCAGCTGCATGTACGTACGTTAACGAAATACGTCTTTAAATTCAACAGAGGTTTGGTGAAATATCAACGAATGTGAACTGTATGACCTGCTTTTACTGGGTAATAATGAATATAATATAATAATAAAATATATAATATGAAATATGTAATAACTGTTATTACAGCTGGTTAACAGGCAGCTAGTTTAGTTAGCTGGTTGGCTATGAGTCAACTACAGTAACTAATCCAGACTACTTTCACTCAAAGCTACTTGGAAACCCGCTGGACCCCAAAACCACCTCCGGGTTTGAAAATCATGTTTTCGTTTTTTTTAAATCTCCAATAATACACCGTTTATCGAAACTAGAAGCTGTAACAACAGACATTATGATCAGATTTTCATGTTTCCGCAAGTCCTTGAACACATCACGTGTGACAAACGTCAAAGAAAAGCAACTAAATCTGAGTTTAAACTCGTGTTATTTCATCAAAAACACTTTATTCTACAAATGTTGCCCCAAATAATCCGTTAGCTTGAACCAGATCCGATAAAAACAAAAATAACACTAAATTCTGCGCTGCTTAGCGAAACTAGGAAACCACGATGGACTCGGTTGAGACCAACGGTCAAATAGTTCAATTTGAAAAATAATGTGGAGGCTTCAAAACTATCTGAGAAAATATAATAGCCTGCTTTTATTCTGAAGGCCTTATTGTTAAAGGTATAGATAGCAGAAGAAGACAAGTCTTTCCTCACAGTTCAGTAACCACTGCCCTCGGTTTACTGAACCACATCGATAGCTGTTAATCCACCGTGTGACCCTGAGGGCGTCAGTAGAAATGAATCAACCAGTGAAAACTATAACTATAAATCTATAACTCAAACAGGAACCTCCACAGTAAAGGAGACGCAGCTCCAGACAACAGCAGGACCAGGATGACTAGACCATCATCAAAATAGTTGATAGTATATTTATTGTCAATCAGCTTATTGATTAGTAGTTTCAGCTGTACTTGTATGTACTGCTGGGTAGTTTAATTTATAACAGAACACATCTTATAAACTCCTCATATTTTTTTAATGTTGACGTTAAAACCAGTTAACGCAGTCTCCATGTCTCCGTAACGGCACAATGTGACTGAGTGACTCACTGAGCTGCAGAGAGTAGAGAAAAGTAGAGCAACAATAGAGCGTAGTTTATTCGGAATAAGACTACGGTGTGTTTGTCACGCTGAGGTGTATCGACGAGGGCTGACATCCTGTGTTAGACGGAGCAGGGAGGGAGACGCCCGGGCTGCTGGCAGAGGACTAAAAGTCACATGAGGCGGGGGCCCAACATGAGGGTCGAGGGCCCCCCTGGGGTCCGAATATTCAATAAGCCACCGTCAGAGCCGCAGATTACAAAGAACAAGAAGTTTAAAAATCACAGTTACTGCCTGGTCTACGCATATCTACTATGAAGTTAGCCTATGGACACATAGCCAGGTGAACACTGTCAAGTTTAATTTAAAACTAGGAAAAAAATCACATTTTAGGAAAATATAGACACCTTTTACATTTGATTTGTCCTTCGTCACATGGATGAAAACTGGGTGTAAATAATACTGTCGCTTGTATGCAGATATTTAAGGTGCTGTTTTATCAACACATTATTTTTTATAAGTAAAAATATATTAATTCATTAACTTCTTTTCTGAATTTCCAGAAATAAATGAGGCGATGGGGTGAAAGGATGTGAATAATATTCAGTTCAAACAAAGCGATTTTGCATATTTTACGATGGGTTGTGGAATATGGACTTGTACATATATATATATAAATAATATAATAATAATAAAAATAATCTAGTTTTTTTGTTGTTGTTGCTAAAAACTCCAATTAGCTTTTGTTTAAAGCTACATGTGTGTTATTGCAGCTCAAATGAAAAACGTCTCCTTTTCATGTTCAAAATATTTTGAATTGAAACATTGTGAGATTAAAGTTGTAAATCCTTGAAATATGTTTAGTAATATTATAAGAAATATGTTGTAATTTTACAAGAATGCGAACAGTATCAGAGAAATGACACCGTTTCAAGTATTAAAGGTACGCTATGGTGTTTTTGACCACTTTTGGATTGACATGTTTGTGATGTAAATAGAGCAGGTTTCAAACTTTTTAAAAAGCTACTGTTTCACAAGGAATGAAACGCATTCAACGCGATCCACACAATGCGTAACACTGAATGTAAACAGGGAAACTCCACAGAGCAGCTTTAAGTCTTTATCAAAAACAAACAGAGTGCCGTTAACGTTGACCTATCGTGACTGAATATGGACCAGAAACACAACGGAGAGGTTAGTTTAGAGCTGGACTTACGTTGATGTCCAGACTGCAGAGACTGAGGGAGTCTGCATCTCTGCTGGCCTGCTTCCTCTTCTTCTGCAACACAAAAACACATCACGTTAGTCAGAAGCATTGATACTTTCTGTCTGTGTTACCGTCTTCAACAGCTCCACTACGTTATATCTTCACACTGAATCAAACGACTCTAATATAATGTGAAGGTTTAGTTTGTAGTGACAAAACACCAAACCTGCAGCTCTTTGCAGCTCTTAGCTCACTGCTTTGGTTTCAGATGGGTTAGTTTGCAGCTTATTATTACTCAAATATCCACAGTGACAGTATTCACTGTTTTACCTTCCAGAAGATCTGGTAGATCTCCTCTCAATCACTTCCTAAAACCCATTTTTACAGACTGGCTTTTATGTGATGTCGTTGCTTTACTGCTCTATTTTATTATTGATAATATTATTTTATTTTTAATAAATTACTTTATTTTACTAAATTATTGTTGTTTTACTAACTTATTGTTTTTTACTAAATTATTTATTTTATTTATTATTATAAGTGAAGAAGGAAATGTAGGAAGGGCAAAAGGTCCAAATGAAAAACATGTTCTCTTTCAATAATGTCTTAAATTCATTGTTTTATCTAGTTTTGCACAACAGCAATGTTTTATGATCTCATGTTCAAAGTAAAAGGAGACGGACAAAATAGACAAAATAGAAGTACCACGACTTGAAAACTAAAGTGCTAAGTAATGTATTTCTTAAAACTTTGCAAGAGTCACAAGATAAATCGGAGGGATGACAAAATAATTAATAAGGAAAGTAAAAAATATACATATTTCTGAAAAACAAATTAAGTTTAT